TTACGATTATTTCTGAATTTGATTCACCAGAAGGTGCTTCAAGCAAGTCTTGAACATGATTGTCAAGATGAGCAAAAACAAACTTTAGCTTTGTTTGCATTGTGATGTTGCTCCCCGTGGGGTTGAGTTTCTACTGAAGGTTCAGACTAATGGTTCTTGTTTGGCAGGGTTATTCCAACTAAGCAAACAAATAAAAAAAAAAGGCAGATGGCTTAATTTCCTTTCTTGTAGTTGCATTGTTGTCCTAGGGTCATTTTTAGATAAAATATTATCAACTACTCATTATAAAAGTATGAAATACTTGCTTACCTCCTATTCATTGTAGGAGTAAATACGATGTGTCTTTTTTCAGATTGCAGATCTTGGTGTTGCCTCCTTTAAGAACTGGAGCCGGCTGACCAAAGAGGAGACTCTCCGCCAGAAGCAAATCAAGAGCGCTTCCCAGAGCAACGCTGGCACTCTCTTCTATATGGCCCCAGAGCACTTAAGGTCTATTAATGTAAAACCTGTGGAGAAGTCAGACGTTTACAGCTTTGGCATAGTGATTTGGGCAATTTTTGCTGACAAAGAGCCATATGAACGTAAGTCATCTGCAAAAAGCCTGCATCCCCAAATTAACATTAAGTTAAATTAAACATTAAATTAAATTAAACATTAAATTAAATGCTTACCGTTCATAATATAAAGTTATAAAACAAATAATAATAGATAAACTTGCCTGTGCCAAAGAAAAGCTCCTGCTTAGCAGCTGGTGGCCAGCAAGAGGCGTTCTTTCATCATTTCTGACTTTAAGTGTAGGCAAGGACATCTGCATTGCCTTTGAAATGCAGGCGTGTGAGCACACATCTGTTCACATCCATGCAGGGTAGTTGTAAACCTCCACTCCGTGGCAAAGACTATACAAAAGTTGGCATGCCAGGGTGGCAGCCCTGGTATGTGCTGTGTCCTGTTGTGGGCTCGCCACATTTCTTTTTGTTTTTACTGGGGACATACACACATTCAGCTATTGCTTCTCAGCTGTGTGGTGCTAATTTCCCAAAATAGGCTAATGCAATCACGTAGAAAAACAGAAGCAGAGCTCGGAATTCCAGAGAAGGAAGTTGTACTTATGATTTTGAAAGCTTTTTATCAGCTAAATGGCTAGTACTTGTCCATGTGGCCATCTCCAGGTTCTTAGCAAGTACAGAGGTTCATGTTCTAGAGGTCCAGATCTGTCACCCTTACTCTGAACTACCATTACACTGAGTGAATGTTTTGGCATGAGATATTTGTATATGCAACTCCAGCATCTTTCTTTGAAATCTTCATTTACCATATCCACAAAGACCTGGGAGACTAACTCACTAAATCCTTTACTTAGAAAGAGGCAACTCTTCGGGATATGAAAACCTATGCTTAGGGCCTAATATGAAATTTTGTTTTTCAGATGGTATAAATGAAGCTCAGATTTGCTTTGGCATCATTAATGGGAACAGACCAGACATAAAAGAGATTATTGCAAAATGTCCAGAGGAAATTATTGACTTAATGAGACAATGTTGGGAGGAAGACCCAGAGAAACGGCCAGCCTTTGCGGGTGAGACCTTAGAGGTTATTTTTCTTACGTGTCCATCAGTAAGGAGTAATAGCAATCCATCTATTTACATGCCCAGTGTAGTCTACTGCCACTTCTGAGATCAAAAGAATTGTATTTTGTTGAGCATTTAAAGATATGAGAAATTCTGTTGCCTAGATAGAGCTGAGACACTGTGCCTGCTGAGAAAATGCTTCCTAGAAGCTGCTGCAGAAGCTATCTCAGGTTAACCTTTCGTAAGCGATGGGACAGCCTTAAACTAGCCAATTATGTAGTCAGATCCCAAAGTAACTGAAGTCAATAAAAGTCTTAAAACTAAATTGAATAGTCTGGAGAAGAGACAAAGAACATTAAGCAAAATAAGCCAATAATCTTGATCTCTTATGGCTGTTTTTTCTCTTTGGAAATATACATGTTTGCCTCAACATATCATGACAAAAAAGAAAAACTGCATGTGACAGGAAGTGGAGTTTTCAGTTTAGACAGGGAGATCAAGAACTTAATATTCAGCAGATATATACTTCAGTGTACATAGGAAATAGTACCAGGAGAAACCTGTTTATCACTTTTGTATTTCGTCTACATCATCTACTGCTAATGTATTAGGTTTGTGCTTCACTGTAGCTTTCAGTATCTGATTCTGATCTGCAAAATACTGCTATCTATCATTTTTGTAAATTCTTTCAATAATAATTCAACTTTTAGTGGTGATATGGTAGGTGTTAATCAAACAGCTAAGTGTAACTGAATATGTCTAGTTTCTTAAAACAGAGGTACCCAATTCTTTTGGGCAGTCAAGTCAATGAAAGGACAATCAGTCAGAGAGTGTAAACTGAGCATTTTTACTCTGAAAAACAAGGCAACGAGAACAAAAATAGCCCCAGAGCCCTGTTGGTGCTGCTGTATTAAGGCTAAATCAGTCCTGTGAACACAAATTCCAAACATACGTTTCATGTGTGTATGTGTGCACTGCTCTTCTTCACTTCATACAATTCTTTGTCAATCCTCCTCTATTAAAACTGTTAAGCAGTATAATTACTTGTATTTTCCATTGAAAATCACTTTCACTCAGCACTCTCTCTTTTTTTTACAGAAATTTGTGAAAAATACAAGCCATTTTACTATCAAAATTTAGAGAAAAATGTCGAAGATGATCTAAAAAAGTTACAAGTGAGTAATTTTGTAGTTCTTTAAGATGCTAATTTTGCCACATCTCCTACCCCCTGGCCCCAGGATAGGGCCGGATTCTGCTACTCCGATACTAATCATGCCTGACCAACCTGGCTGCCTGCTGGGATAAAATACCTGGATTTGTGGATGAGCGTGAGTAGGGGATGTGATTTATCTACACTTCAGCAAGGCTTTGATGTTGGCTGCCAGAATATTCCTGTATCCAAGTTTGGATGTTCCGGTCTGAATGGGATAAAACTAGTTGGCCAATGTGGCTCCAAAGTCAGTGGTTAATGGTCCTGCCTCCCCCAGAGCTGGTGGAGCGCAGGGGTCAGTGTGGGGAGCTGCCCTGACACAGAGGTGTCGGTGACTGCAGGTGGTGCAGCGCGCTGTCACCAAGCTCCCAAGGGACTCCAGGCCGGGGAACCAGGCAGCACCCACAGGCAGGGCTGCCAGCTGCAGGAACAGGTAGATCGGAGCCTTCGGAGGGTTGGCAGGAGGGGGCCCCCGGCGGAGGGGGGGCACCCGTGGCAGCAAGGGTGCCCGCCTGCTGGTCGCTCACCTGCACGCGGCCTCTCCTAGGGCCCCGGACACAGCAGGCATTGGCCTCCTGAGGACAGTTCAAGCGGAGGCCCCAGGATCTGGGGGGCTGGAGCACATGCCTGTGAGGAGTGGCTCAGAGATGATATAACTGCAGTGGGGCCTAACAGCAGCCCCTGCACAGAGTCTGAGAGAAGCCATGCACAGCAGGAGGATGAGAGAAGGGGCATGCATGGAAATAGGAGAGATTCAGCCTGGAAGTAAGGGCAGAATCCCTTTCCCCATGAGGATGGTCAAGCAGGGGAGCAAGGTGCCCAGGGAGGCTGCACAGTCTCTGTCCTTGCAGGTTTTCGGGACCTGGCTCTGTGATAAAGAGCTGGTCTGAGCAGCCTGGTCTGATGCCAGAGCTCTGCACAGCAGAGTTGCTGGACCAGAGATCTGCTGAACTCCCTTCCAGTCTGTGTGACTCCGTGATTCCCTGATAATGCAAGACCCTGAAAAAGCCCCTCCAATAAGTCTCTTTCAGGGAATGAAATAATTCTCAGAGATTCAGAAGCGGCAGCATCTGATTTAGACTAAGTGTGAAGAATCCCATAAATACATATGTGTTTTTTTTTAATACATTAAAATTTGTCCTATGTTTGACAGCATCTTAGTGAGTACCAGCAGGTTGAGACCATGAAGCTACACAACAGTAATACGAATTTGAGAAATTTGAAGACAAGCATTTTTTGTTAGTGGTTAAGTTAGTCCCTCTATTTTTTCTGGATATAGATTTACAAGTTATGGTAAATAGATTGATTTTATGACAGAAAGTCATAGGGATTAAAATTACTTCTTTATTAATGTTTTTGGCTGATTATGGAATCTTTTGTTTTACAGATTGTAAATATGAATAAATTATCGATTTGCTTAAGTAGTACTGACAGCAAGCAATGGAAATGTCTGACATTAGGAGCTCAATCTCTGCAGCAGTGTGAGGCTCCAAAGAGTAGACACCCAGTTATTGTAATTAAGAAAAAAAATCCAGGCCTTTCTTTGTGAAATAATTCTTTTACACTTTTTTTTTAAAGTGTCTCCTTGTGTCACCAAATCTGTAACTGTGAACACACAAGTTTCTGGTTTGGAAAGCATGCGATGTTTGTCAAGCATTGTTTGATGAAACAAATAATAGTTATACTGGACTTGCTTGGCCAAACATGATGTGAAATATGAATGTCATTTTATGATGGCAGCCGCAAGTGAGGATTGAGGCCAGCTGCCCTGGATGCATTAGCCCTTTGCACGTCCTCCTCCTCAGTCATAGGCACCAGCTGCCTGCTTTGAAAATGGACTGCAGATCTCAGTAAGAAGAGCTGCTGTTCATAGCAGGGCACACAGCGAGGGGCACAGACTGGGACCAGGCATCCAGGCAGGACAACGTGGTGAACTTCGAGATCCCTCTGTTACGTTCATGGGTTAGAGGGTTTGGGTTCTGAGGAGTATTTATTTGCTTGTAATCGGGGAGGCAGAGGCCACAGCCTTCTCACTAGTTATGGAATGTGCCACTGTTCAGTTACTCAAATAAAATCTAAGGACCTAAGCTTGTAGTGAGCTTTTTAACATCATCTTTTCCTGTGGGAAGAGAGTGAATTTGTGGGAGGAGGTGAACAGGATAAATCAGCAGTCTTCTGTCACGGTGACTGCTCGGAGAAAAGTCTGGCCATTAAGTGCAAGACAGACTAATCCTTTTCATACAAAAACTCTACGTTTGTAGCAAATTCATTCCCTATGTTCCCTATGTGGGAAAGGTATCATTTGGCCAGCTCAGAGGATCCCACACTGCAGTTGTATTGGAGCCTTTCCCCCTTCTCTGAAAAGGGTGTTTGTTGTTGTTTTTGTTTGTTCATTCGCTTTTGTTTTTTGCATCTTCAGCAAAGCAGTGAGACTTTCCTGCCAGGCTGTGGCCTCTGAAAAGGGATGGAGTTGTTCCCTCCTCAGGTCACTTCACTGAAAGATGTGCTCTTTCTTACCACAAAGATACTCTCTTTGGTTTAACCTTCACCTATAGCTTGATCATTTGTTCTTTCTTATGTACAGAAAATGTGGCCTGAGCCAAACGAACTGCTGACCAGGATGCAATCCCTTCAAATAGATGCTGTGGCAGAAGGTAGCAGTAATGGTCAAGTAGGTAAGTGTTGCAAGTCACTAGCTAGCACATTATTATGCCATATGTTCTGCTTAGGATAAAGTTGTGAACATGCAGAATTTATGAGGAATTTCACATTAAGTGTTTTTAACAGATGCAGTTATTTCGGACTTCAGAGAGAATTGAATTCGCTGAAAAGACTGAGTTTGTTCCTAGACTCCTAAAAATTGTATTCACTATTTCAAAATTTCCAGCATCTACAGCTTGAAGCTCTTTTATTTTACATTCTTCTGCTTTCATCTCCCATTCAGAAAGTTCCCTGTTACATTTGATTTTTTTAATGGTCACTTTGATAATTACTTCTCATACTTAATCTTTCTCCCCTCTTCTTTAATCATACCAACAAGTATGTCTACTTGTTTGAGTTTTCAGCAGATTTCAGTTCCATGAAAACTTTACTTTTTCCCACTCCAGCCTTTTATACAAATGTTCTGAATACAGCCAGGACTCAGGACGAGAAAGTACTGCTTTTTTACTAGCTTGCTCTTCACTGAATCTATCTAAGCAATACTCCATCTATGAGTCTTCTCTCCTTTTGTCATACTTGCTATCAAGACTTGCTTGAGTTGCACGTTTCACAGTTTTATAGAGCTGTCTCATTAATAATGTCACGATTAGGTAGTTTTGTGGTAATATATCAAGAAGTCTTTCACCAAAGTTTCCTAGTAACAAAGGATATAGAATCTTATTTGCAGTACTGACTTGCAAGCAGCATGAGAAGCTTCAGTAGAAGTTAAAATGCTGCTAAGTTTGCTCACCCCTTTTTAAAGACGGATTTTTAAGAGAATTTTAAAAGAATGAGGTTAAACTGTAACATGCACCTGTTAAATCTTCTCTAAAGCTTTCTATAACTGTTCCTCAAGAGTACTTATGGATTAGTAGGGCAGCCCCACCACTATGTTTTAAAATGAATACAGTTACATTTCCTTTGCAGAACTAGTCAAGTATGACTGCAGCAGTTGCAGGTGCTCTTCTGCTTCAAACATGAAAGGTTTTGTTGTGAATCTGTGCTGCAGAAAGATGCTATCTCGTCAGCCTTTCGACCAAAGCCATTTTATTTCTCCAGTCAACGAGCATTACTCAGATAGATAGCAGTAGGGAAGGAAGTCCTAGAGGAGCTGCTCACCCAGCTCAAGCTTGCTCAGGAGAATGGATGCCCCTGTGGCAATGAGACATTGCTAAGAGCCACCAGTCTTGGTGAGGTTGTTTCTGCGTTAACTTACACCTCCTGCTCCCGGCCACACTGTTAACAGCAGAAACAGAGCAAGTCAGAAACAGAGCAAGTCACATTGCCATGTGTACCAATACGCTGCCATCAAAAGGAAATACTTTGTGTCCTGCATGGTCTGGACAGAATTCATGTAATTGGAGATAAGGAGTTCACTGGCATTATCTGAGATAATCAGAAAACATAAAATTTATGGCACTTTTGCAGTGATTTGTGAGCATCCCTTGCTTCCAGGAATGCACAGGATTTTCTAGACAACTTTGAAGCTATCAGAACTTTTTAAGAAAACCTCTTCAGTCCTGCACTTTAAAAAAGAAAGAAAGAAAGAACGAACGAAAACAGGTACTAACAAGCAGATTTGTGCATTCTTTTTTTAGTCCTGAAATGCTGCAGTATGATCTAGGTCAGAATTCAAAGCAGGACTGAGGTAAAGCTTCTTTGATACTGAGAGTTAGTTTGAAAGATTTAGGTGGCATAAACTCCTTTTTATCTGCTACATGTTACTTGTGAAAACACACTCTTTGAGACTCTGGAGAATAAACTAGACAAAATAAAAAGAATCAGTCAAGCCTCATGAACTACCTAGAGTGATATTTTGCAAAATTATTTTAAAACATGACCTTAATGATTTTTTTTTATACTGTATGGAGTAACACCTGTTCTGGTGGGTCCAATTCACCATTGTGTTACACTCCAATTTTATACTCAATAAACTTCAGTTAATGCCAATAAAGGCTTACCAGTAAATCATACCAGGCATGTGCCTCCAGGCATCTTTGAGAGAAGGTTGAGAACTCAACATCAATATAACTGGAGTATGGAGAGAATTTGACACCACTAGAGTGGAGGAGATTTTGACAATGGTATCTTGAACAAGCCTGCGCTTTGTAAATAAAAATCTGAAACCCT